TGATTCAATAGGTGTGGCGGTGGTGGGTGGCTTCCCAGGTGGGAGGAGCAGGCCTAGAGGATGTCTCCTCCAAACTTCTCTTTCTCTTGCCTTTTAGTCGTAGTCAGGGAATGAAGACCTGTGTTGGGGCAGCTCCTTTTGCCCCATTTCTAAGATGGCTCCCTCGGGGCCAGCTTGGACCGAGTCCATAGACCATTTTCTAGCTGCAAGGCAGCCGCTGCTTTTGCAGTGAAACTGCTGTGGCATGTGTGGCTCACCAGTTTGTGCAGTTTCTGTGCCTGACTCTCAAACTTGATCATTATTGTAACTGATGGGTGGGCATCTGGATCCTTCTAGAGCAGCTGAAGGCTGAGCAGAGTGTTGATACTATTGGCAAGAGAAATAGCTTTGATTTTCATCGTGAAGGAAGAAAACACTTAGCTTCAGCCAACGCAGCGGCGGTCAGTCCAGTGTCCTGTCTGCGTGTGTGGAGTCGGTATTGCTCTGTGGCATCTGACACAGATGTGGTCAGGTGTCATCTGTCAGCAAACCACTGCACCATCCTGACAACGTGTCCAAAGGATATAAGACGAAGTCTTGTTCTCCTCGCCTTTAAGGGACACTCTGGCTGTACTTCTTCCAAGACAGGTCCTTTGTCCTTTTAGCAGTCCGTGATATTTTCAGTATTCTGTTCCAGTATAACAATTCAAGTGTAACTTTCACATGCATATAAGGCAATGGAAAACACCATGCCGTACACAGATAGTAGGCGGCATATGTAGTTTGTAACGCCTGTTTAAGCTGTTATTGGGCATTTGCGGGCCATAGTTAAGCACTGAAAATAATGATGATGATGAAGGTGATGGGGATCTTGGCCTGGATATATTTCCCAGGTTTTCACTCCTATTGGAGAGTAGGGTGCTGGAAGTGAGGATACTGTGCTAACCCATTTTCTGACACAAATAGTTATTATTTTACATTCACATTTACGGCATAAAGGAAGTAGGCAACAAACAAAATGTGTACTGGCCCTGGAAAGACTTCCCGTGAAAAAGTGACTTAGCTGCCCTCTTCATTGAGAATGGCCACTTCCTGCTCAGGGCAGGGACGTTCTCGGCACACGCTGCCCAGGAGGAGCCTCCATGGCTTGTTGGGAAAGTAGTTCTTCGTGCAGCTTCCCCTCCTGAGGGCGTGTCGTGCACTCGGAGCTTAGAAAATGGCTTTGCAGCCTATTTATTGAGTTAGGAATTTGAGGGCTTTCTATAAAAGACACACACATACACACACACAATATCAACTGACCTGATGCCCTATGTCACACATAACCCAAATCAGTCCTGTTTCTAATCTAAGGACAATGTCAAGTACGGTTTAATTAAAGCCTTAGGTGCCATGCCTAGCACTATAGCTGGTTGAATGACGGTTGAGTGAGCCGTGGGTCATGAAATCTGGGAAATGCCCTTTGGCTAGTTGAAACTTAGCTCCAAGAAGAACCCCAAGCCCTTGGGTGCCACTCTGTGTGCTTGGCAGCACATGATATGAGCCCTCCCTCCATCAGTTTCCTGTTGTGTGGAGGGGGTCTTGAGGCTGGAGATACGGGCCTGGCCTGTAGTGGCTCCTAACCAGCTGCTGCTGACCTTGACCATCCTCTGGGAACTAGGTGCAAGGGTTAGTCACCCCAGCTCATGGCTAGCAGGTGGAGGTTGTTTTGGGGGTGTTTTGGTCTCTAAAAGGCTGAAACAGCAGTTTACAGAAAAGCACGGAAGGAAGAAATAATTCAGGAGATAAAATACCAGACGGAAAAGACTTGAGCTACGAATGATGCAGCTGCCGAAATCCAAAACCACAAAATCCTTGGTCCCTTTAGCCAACCCTTCTTCACGCTGTTTTGTCTGTTGTGGTAGAAATAGTTATTTCTCTTTTGCTTTTGGGAAGCTAGTTGATCTCGCTTGAATTGTCACTGGTGGTTGCTGAAGACCTTCCTGGGCTACAGTTTGGGGGTAAAGGCGGTTGCAGTGTCTGCAGGCTTGACGGTCTTAGTCTTCAGTTAGGTTGATGTTGAGTAGAAGGAAGACTTCTACTTTCACCAACCAGAGGCTTACTTGTTTCTTCTTTACCAAGGTTCCAGGTGCTTCTCCCAGAAGAGCGGACGCTGGGCGAGGCTTGGCTCCATTGCCCAGCTCTCCTCTGGGTAGATGTGCTGGAACATGTCATCAGCCTGTGACCACTTTGAGCAATTTCTGCAGAGTCTTGAGAACCACACGGGAAGTCATTTATTTTAACGGCAGCTGCTTTTCCTCTGGCCAGTCAGCACACCTCCCCAGGGGCCGGGCCTTATAGGACTAGAGCTAGCTAGCGTCTGTAAGGGTCACTGTGAGCCGCAACCGACTTGATGGCCCCTGACCACCACATCTCTAGGACTAGGACTAAGGTAGCACATTGCTTGTGGGTGAAGCGTTCTCTGGGTTCCTAGCACAGCTGGGGAGCAGAGTGCCTGCCACTTGTGTTTGGAAGTGCTCTCTAGGTCGGTGGCCGCAGGGGAACATAGTTGATGGGGGCTTCTTTTTTAAAAAATCGTTTTATTAGGGGCTCATACAACTCTTATCACAATCCCATACATACATCAGTTGTGTAAAGCACATTTGTACATTCACTGCCCTCATCGTTCTCAAAACATTTGCTCTCCACCTAAGCCCCTGGCATCAGCTCCTCATTTTTCCCCTCCCTCCCTGGGCCCCCCTCCCTCATGAACCCTTGGTAATTTATAAATTATTATTATTTTGTCATATCTTGCCCTGTCTGACGTCTCCCTTCACCCACTTTTCTGTTGACCGTCCCCCAGGGAGGAGGTCACATATAGATCCTTGTACTCAGTTCCCCCTTTCCAACCCATCTTCCCTCTACCCTCCCAGTATCGCCAGTCACACCACTGGTCCTGAAGGGATGATCATCTGCCCTGGATTCACGATGGAGGTTTCTTGACCCTTGCCCTCTCAGGAATGGCCTGCCTCAAAGACCAGTGTGACTTGAACTGTTGACTGGTATGATGTGTTTATTATAGCTCCATAAAACCATGTTTTAAAATGCTTGTGAAGGTGCTCAAGGCCTCCTGCAGAAGGCGCGGCGGGGCGGCTTCCTCCCAGCAGACCATGGGGCCTGGCCCAGGGAGCCAACACGAGAGCCTGCTCCTCAGCACTGGTCTGAGTCCTTTGTTGCGTGGGCCTTGGGAGACCAACGAGACTGGCTCCAGCTTCCCTCGACTCGGCCTTGCCCTCCAGGAGAGCGGGCAGGTGCTCCTGCCACCCAGGGGGCTGAGCCTTGTTAGTTAGCACCCTGCCTGGTTTGTCATTGAACCGATCCTGCTGTGGAGCTGGAAAATTGCACCTCCCCACCCCAGTCACTGTCAAGGGTGTGTGGGGCCTGTTGGCTGCTTTGCAGGTCAGTAGAACAGATAGCAGCTGTTTCTCCTGCCTGTGTGTGGCTGGGTTTGGGGGCACACGTGCATGTGCGTGTATGTTTTCAGTGTTCACCAGCCTGTGCACATGTCTTGTTCCGCTTGTTGAGGTCTTGCTCAATTGCAGCACCTCATGGCAAAGCAGCCTGCCTTGCCTGCCACACCTGCCTATGTGGCTTCCAACACTCTCACTGACTGACCGGAGGTGCTTAACGATGGCATGGAGCAGAGCGCTCTCTCCAGGGCTGCTTCCTGGGCAGCATCGTAGCCACTCAGCACTGCCAACTAACGTTTAAAAGGAAAAGGACAAGAGAGAGTGTGAGTGGGCCTCTTGGCTCGGTGCCTTCAAAGATCATTCGTGGAATTCAAGAGATTGTTCTTTCTTATCTTAAAAATCACGACACTGTTAAGCAGGTTACAAGATAGCATGATTACACAGATCCATGTGTTTCCACCAAGTCCAGCGCTCAGCCCCGGTGGGAATGACCCTGCTGTGGGCAGTACCGTGTCATGACATAGCAGCTGTGTGGATGGACTTCGGGTGCTCCCAGGCAGTGAGCAGCAGGGGTGGGAGGGTCTGGTTTATAGGAGCTATTTTGCATGGAAAATTTTGTGCCCCACAGCAGAAACTCGGGGAGACAGGATTTCTTTGCCCCCAGCTGTCACTTCAGGGAGTGGGCGGGCTGGTTTTCTTCTGAGCCCTCTTACAGGTCATGGTAATGTCAAGGGGCCTACTTTTTGCCGACTGGGTGTTAGTTTCTGTGGGAAGTCAAATATAATGGTGGAATGTGGATGTTTGAACTTTGGAGTGGGTCTGCCAGTCACACCAGTTTCCCTCCTCCTCGCCTTTGGTCGTTCCCACCTGCCCAGCCAGTTCTTGAGGGTGACATGGGGTTTGGCAGCAAGCGGGTTGTGAATCACCTTTTCCCTGATCCCAGCCCTGCACCTGTGCGAAGACTGTCACCTGGTACTTGTCCACCTGCTGTGCGCCGCAAGGGAGCGGGTCTCAGAGCAGCCCCGTGCAGGTGTGGGGGAGGGCCGGGGGAGCTACTGCAGAGCGGAGCGGCTTTGATGGGGGCTGGGT